TTGCTGCAGAGCTCCCTTTTTCACACTGGGCCGTTTAATACAATAAATGTTAACACAGCTCTTCCCTTTAAATAAAAGTACGAGAACTTTGTGAACTGTCTCAGTGGAAATGCAGTTAAAGAGACCTTGAAATAAAGTGTATGGCTCCTGCAAAGAACAAATTCTCAATAGTCTGAAAAACTGCAAAATGTGTTGGAATCTCATATCTATATGTATAAACTTGAGCAGCTCAGCTCATGTACCGTTTCTAGTGCAGCACATATGTGTGACTCAATAAGGTTTGAGTGGGAGAACCAGACAGGTCTGAATCACCAAGTTTCCTTATCTCTGAATCACTGTTATCTTCGAGTAAAACAGTTGCAGCTCTCAGAGCTACAGAAGCCCAGTCATGATGATCACAAATTGTAAAATCCAGAAGGAACCAACTGGTTTAAAGAATTTTCACAACCATTTGATGCTTGAGGACCCAGATTTATGTAAAAGGAAATGAGTTAATTCATGTGAAGCTGGATATGAGTCAACAGTGTGCTCTTGTTGCCAAAAAGGCTAACGGCATTTTGGGCTGTATAAGTAGGGGCATTGCCAGCAGATCGAGGGACGTGATCGTTCCCCTTTATTCGACATTGGTGAGGCCTCATCTGGAGTACTGTGTCCAGTTTTGGGCCCCACACTACAAGAAGGATGTGGAAAAATTGGAAAGAGTCCAGCGGAGGGCAACAAAAATGATTAGGGGGCTGGAGCGCATGACTTATGAGGAGAGGCTGAGGGAACTGGGATTGTTTAGTCTCCAGAAGAGAAGAATGAGGGGGGATTTGATAGCAGCCTACAACTACCTGAAAGGGGGTTCCAAAGAGGATGGAACTTGGCTGTTCTCAATGGTGGCAGATGACAGAACAAGGAGCAATGGTCTCAAGTTGCAATGGGGGAGGTCTAGGTTGGATATTAGGAAACACTATTTCACTAGGAGGGTGGTGAAGCACTGGAACGCGTTACCTAGGGAGGTGGTGGAGTCTCCTTCCTTGGAGGTTTTTAAGGCCCGGCTTGACAAAGCCCTGGCTGGGATGATTTAGTTGGGAATTGGTCCTGCTTTGAGCAGGGGGTTGGACTAGATGACCTCCTGAGGTCCCTTCCAACCCTGATATTCTATGATTCTATGATTCTATGTTTTAAATTCTGGGATTTGAAAACTATTCTGGTAGACAGCAAACTCTGTTTCCTGATATCACAGAAGTTATGTATTATTCAGCTTTACTCACTGTTGTTCCAACAGGTGTATTAAAAAGTTGTAGAACCATAGTTACAGAATATCATGGTTGTACAATTGTTGTGAAAATAGATTTAAAATGAACAGAATTTTTAAGTGTAGAGAGATACAAAAGAAATTGCTTCAGACCATTAAGGGCCTGACCCAAATCTTTCATTTGACTTCAGTGGACTTTGGATAGAAGCCTAACAGAATACATATAGCAATCTTACATCTTAAAGGTCAACTGAAAGCTTTTACCTACCAAGAGGTGACTGAGTTCAAAAGAGTGCCAGGTTCCTGCATTTCTCTTGCAGCAGCTGATTATTCAGGTGCCCATAACAGTTCCTATCTGCAAGGACTGCATGCTTTAGGGATACAGAATGCTGAATAAATCTAATACAAAGAGACCTCTTTGAATATAGGTATTAGAATGTAGGAAGGATTTCTGATTGTACATTCCCTTATGGAAAGTTCCCCTTTCACTTAGGCTAGTAACCTGCCCACTTTGCAGTGAGGTCACAGGCTATATCACTTGGATAGTCCTCCAACCCCTTCCTACAATTCCCTCCCTGTGCCCAGAAGGACTGACACATTCTCCCACGATTCACTGGGAAAGAATCATAGAGTGGGTTGACTTACTGCCGCACAAAGAACTATGGATACGTTCCCAAGAGGCCTAGCAACACACATGGGGGAGCCAGCACAGCCGCACCAATGAGGACACCGTAACTCAGATATGGCTTTGTGGTATGGCTGCTCATCTGGACTAGGCTAACTGCAGTGGAGACATACAGTAAGGGTGAGCTTGTTGATAAAGACATGTTAACAAAATAGGAAGTAATGAAATAAAACAACTAACAAACAAGAAACTTCTCTACAAAGATACAGATACGGTCCCTATTCTGAAGATTTTATAATCTAAACAGATAACATGTAGATCAGGGGTGAAGGATAGGATGAAAGTGACTGAGCGGTGAAGTTAGTACAACATCTGCTCATTCTATGATTTTTATAAAGTTCCTAGTCCATGTTGGGGGCCGAAGTAATATAAAATATATAATTAATAAATCATAGTTCACTCTCCATTCCCAGTCTATTCCTGTGATTTAGCTACATTCTTGGGTTTATTTTTATACACAGACAAGGACAGTAAGACTAAGAAAAATTTCCAAATTACTCATCTCAGGAACATAATCTATAAATAGTTTTGAGCGTCTGACTAAGGACCCAATACAACCTTGACATTCTAAGGTAAGGTAATGCTGCTGTGGTTATTTGACAAATGGACCTGGATCATGTTTCAATTGTTTTAAGCTCAAGTGTATCAATCTCAGTTTAGTTTGATGGTGCTTAGTTCAAAGGCGCAGAGTGCATAGCAAGCAAGACTGTTTAACTTGTAGTGATCCTCCAGGCTTCTGTTCTTTTTTTCAGTAAAGAAGTCTTTGCCCCCAGATGAGGGCAGAAAAAACAGAATCTCCATGCAGCAGTTGATAAAGGGAATGCTTGCTTCTGATTCTGAATTTAATTTTCATATATTGGTGAGTTAGGGTTGCAAAAATGTCCCTGGCACAACTCCAGGAATCTAATGTAGAAAAATGTTTTCAATTGCATTGCAATGCAATACATAAAAGCAAAAGGAAATTAGTGAAGAAACGAGAATAATAAAATGGTTTCTTTAGATGGGTTTCATTGTATAGGGGTTAGCAGAGTGGAGAATAAATAGAAAACCAAGGTGACATTGACTGAAAACCAAGGTGACATTGACATGGGCTCAAGGAACTTCCTGACCCTGATTTTTCTCTCAGGTATGACACCATTGAAACTACATTGACCTCAGTGGAGTTACTCTGGATTTACACCAGTGTAAATGAGCAGCACAGAACTGGGTGAGAAATTTTTTGCTCATTCATTCTCCCCGTGGAAGTAGAAGGGGGTTTATCCTGCAAAAGCAGTGGATCTCCAGAGATCTGTACAGATCTTGGTGAATCAACAGAGGTCAAGCCAATTTGTGCATCTGCAGTGGTTCCTGGCTGGCCCTCCCAGACTACCTCTGGCCCTTTGGTTGTATATCTCTCAACCTGCCAAGGCCTGATGTGGAACACAATGTGTGATAAACACTCAGAATGAGGGGTCAAAAATTATTAATTCAGAATGCTTAAAATGCTGAATAATTCCTTCCTTTTGTGCATATAACTTTCTGTAACCTCAGTTTTCATGATTCCTTATTTTTGATGTAAATAATTTTGAATGATAGAAGTGAGGGGACATCGATATTTGTGTGGGACGCAGGTAACTTTGGGACTAAAATAAGTGATGTCCCTCAAAATGAACATTTAAGAAACATGCTGCCAGGGAACCCACTGCCAGCTGCTATGGCCAGAACCTCTTGTCAGGAGGGAGCTGCATCATGGTGGGAGAAGAAGGAGATGAAAAAGCCAGCTAGGGCGAAATACAAAATTAAAGTTAGTGAAGAAATTTAATTCGTGTCTTTTATTTGTCTTACAAACAGTGTATTTTACTACTAATGTATTTATATCATTCCCTGTATTTATAGGGCTCCCAGTACCCTGGTATCTGGGCCCGCTTTACAAGCTTTAAAGTGGGAGCAGTTAGCATTAGCAAAGCCATCTTCTTTTTATGATGGTACGCCAGAGAAAATTTGAATGAGAGACGTTTCAAAAGGTATAATTAAGATTTTAGATGTCATTGAAAGATGTGCAGCCAAATCCTTCTTTATTAAGGGGAGAGGCTTAAACCCCCCCCCCCCCTTCTAACAGATGCAAAAGAAGAGAGTCTCCCTCCAGACCTGGCAGCTCTGTATATTCGGTCTCCTATCTCAAGCGGAACAATAAGAACAAAAATAGTTGGGGGAAGAGTTAAAGTGGAGGGAAGGCTGAGTAAGCTCCTAACAAGCCCTGAGCCCCAGGGGAGAGGGTTGCAGCAGCCGGATAGGGGGTGGTGAAAGAGTGAGGGAGGGGAGAGGAACTGAGGAAGCCCAGCCTTTCAGGATCTAGGTACAATAGAAGCCCATCCTTCTGCCTGCTTCTATATCTTCCTGCCCCACCTAGTGCCACCAGCACTCTGCTGCCCCCTGCCAAGGGCATGCCAGCCAATTGGTGCTATTTTTCGATTGCACTGGGAAAGAAACCAGAGTGGTGGCCAATGACATGTGAGCTCTAAAGAGGGCGTTGCAGGAAAGCAGTAGGTGACAGCAAAACTCCTCCTTTTCTCGCAGTGATCAGGAGTGCTCTGTGGTGAACATGGCAGATGCAGATTAAGGTCCAGGCTGCTCCCGCCGCCTCCTCCTCTTCCTCCTCACTACACAACTTGTTGGCTGCCCAGCAATTTCCCGTGTCGCTGGCTGGAGAGGTAGCTGGCCGGGGAAGAGCAGCCGGGTTCGGGGCTGTGTGTGTGGTGGGGAAGAGAGGCGCCCTGGGCTGTGTGATGATCCGGGTATGGAGGGCAAGCAGGGGGGAGCATCTGGGGCCGCTGCTTTGCTGCTGAGCCGCTCCGGGAGCCGCGGGGCACAGCAGGGACCAGCTGCCAGGCGGCGTGCCAGCCACTGCTGCTGGACTCGGGGGCGGCGTGTCCCCCTTCCCAGGGCGGCGGCGGCGGCAGCGCTGGGCTGGGTCTGATCGCTCCTTGCAGTGCCGCTCGCTGCCGCGGCGCTTATCAGCTCAGCGCCCTTCCTCTGCGCGGCAGGCAGGGGCGGAGGGCGCACACGGGGGGAAGCGGGGCGCCGAGCCGGCCAGGGGCAGAGAGCAGCAGCCATGCTGCCCGGGGTGGGGGTGTTCGGCACCAGCCTCACCGCCCGGGTCATCATCCCGCTGCTGAAGGACGAGGGCTTCTCGGTCAAAGCGATTTGGGGCCGGACCCAGGAGGAGGCGGAGGAGCTGGCCAAGGAGATGAGCGTCCCCTTCTACACCAGCCGGATAGACGAGGTCTTGCTGCACCAGGACGTGGACCTGGTCTGCATCAACCTGCCGCCACCGCTCACCAGGCAGATCGCGGTCAAAACCCTGGGTGAGTGAGTCCCACCCAGACGCCCTTTCCTCCCTGCGCACGCTGGGAAGACTAGGGCTGCTCGGGAAGCATCTCCGGGGGTCTGGGAGCATGTGCGGGATCCCCATGGCTGGGGATGGGAGGAGCATCTGTGGCCACCCATTGCACTTGTGGAGGTTCCCCGCGGAGCCTTTCCCTGTGCGTAAATAAATCAGTCAATCTAAGGAGAGGGGTGTGTGTGTGAGAGCGAGCGAGCTGGGTTGTGTTAGTGTCCTGTAGGAAGCCCTGCTGGGGAGGCAGCGTTATTGAAGCACTATTTCTGGTATTTTAGGATTACTGAAACTGAAATGATTTAGTGCTAAAATGTGGGATTATGGGTTTTGAGATGTCATCAGTCGTTTGTATCAGACACCTCGTTAAGGCAACATACTGGAAGTTTTTAGGAAGCAGTATTTCCCATCTCTCTTTTTTCAGAGTGTTGAAAGAGTTCACTTTTAAATGCTTGATGTTGAGACTAGTTATTCTGCAACGTTATGGGTAGGGCCCTACCAAATTCATGGTCCATTTGGGTCAATTTCACGGCCATAGGATTTTTAAAATGGTAAATTTCATGATTTCAGCTATTTAAATCTGAAAATTTACAGTAGGGATCCTTACTGAAAAAGGAGTTGTGGGCTGGTCGCAAGGTTATTGTGTGTGTGTGTGGGGGGGGGTTTGCAGTACTGCTACCCTTACTTCTGCGCGGCTGCTGGCAGTGACGCTGACTTCAGAGCTGACCCAGCCAACACCTGCTGCTCTCCAGCCCCCCAGCTCTGAAAGCAGCGCAGAAGTAAGGGTGGCAATACCATGACCCCCCACCTTGTGACCTCCTGCAACTCCCTTTTGGGTCAGGACCTCCAATTAGAGAAATGCTGGTCTCCCCCGTGAAATTTGTGTAGCATAGGGTAAAAGCACACAAAAGACCAAATTTCAGGGGTGGGGAGATCAGATTTCACGGCCCGTGACGTGTTTTTCATGGCAATTAATTTTGTAGGGCCCTAATTATGGGGTAAAATTCTGGCCCAGTTGACTTCAGTAGGAGTTTTGCCATTGACTTCAATAGACCAGGATTTCATCCATGGGGGCCTCATCCTGAGAGGTGATGAATACCCACAAGGCCTGGATGCTTAGCACCTGTGAAGATCAGGCCCTAATCGTGTCTAAAAGGTTAGGTTCAAAATGGGGAAAAACATCTGTTTCATGATAAAAGGGAGAAAATAATCAGGAGTTTTCATATGTGCATAGGGCGGCACCAGAGAAACCGTTCACCATTTACTCTTTGTGTTAAATGACAGCTTAGTACCTTGCACAGTTGGAAGGTTGCGTCTTATACAATAAGCCTAAAAAATAACCTGAGCAGGGCACAAACATCAACAGATGCAAAGCAGCGAAGCAAGCAGGAAACTATGATAACAAAGGAAATATTTTTACACAGGAGCCTTAATCAACATCATATACAAAGAAAGGACTGAAAAATAGGCAAACACTTACAAAAATAATCTTCGGATTTAATTATACTTTAACACGTAAAAACTGTGGCCTAAATTCTGCTTTCATTTACACTAGTGTAAACTGGATTTACCCCATTGACTTCGTGTAGGGTAACCAGATAGCAAGTGTGAAAAATTGGGACAGGGAGTGGGGAGTAATAGGCGCCTATATAAAACAAAGCCCCAAATATCAGGATTTTCCCTATAAAATTGGGACAGCTGATCACCCTAACTTCCTGGCCTCCTACCGGTATGTAAAGTATTTGTTTTTCTATCGAGGTTGACTTTAGTGGAGTTACTCTCAGATTTACACCGGTGTCACTGAAATCAGATTTTGGCCCTCTAAATGTAAATGAGAGAATGTAAATTAGGGAAAATGTGTTGAGTCATCTTTGTAACTGACAAAGGTATGTTGAGGTAAACAAATCAAATAGTGGCTATTTAGTTTCTTTCTGCAGTTCTGTGGGCTCATTGCCATGGCTATGTATTGCATCATAGTATTACAGTATTACATTGCTACTAGAAAGCATAGTAATACTAAGTTATCATTAGTGATGTTAGTGTCAATGGGCATTTTCAGTCTTTAAAGGAAGGGTTGAGAACCAGCTCTAACAAACGTTAGTTCTCTATTCACAGGTCAGGTATAGTGCAAGTATCTGCAGTGCAAGCTTTGCCACAGTGTTTTAATATCTCTGACCAGAAATGGTTCTTGTCTTTGGGTAAAAGAACCTGATCATTCTTTATAGCAAACCTTTGACTTTTTTCTAGATTGCATATTATTTATGCTTTGCCTGCCAAAGTATGTGTTAATGGTTTTATAATGTAGATCTAAATGTCCCAGAGAATTTAAATTACCATGGAGTTAAAAAGAGAATGTTAAGGTTTTAGACCTCAAATTTGATCTAATATAAAATTGCTAGAATTTGCCTGGGAAAGTCCTGCAAATTCTGAATATCCCTCTGCCCTCCCCCAGTTCTCCTTAATGTACTACTCCTTTACTAAGACTAGGGTGACCAGACAGCAAGGGTGAAAAATCGGGACAGGGGTGGGGGGTAATAGGAGCCTATATAAGAAAAAGACCCAAAAATCGGGACTGTCCCTATAAAATCGGGACATCTAGTCACCCTAACTAAGACCTTTCTCTTACTGCCTGTGCTTGGGTGGACCATGTCTCTACGTTCAACCCCGTAGAACAAAATGGGATTCCACACAGGCACGGGGGGGGGGGGGGGTCTGTTGCAGGGTCAGAATCTATGAAATCAAAAAGAAAAACAATAGTTTTGAGTGAACATCATGTTTTGTTCATCTTATGATATGTGTATGTAGCAGCAATTAACTAGCAAACATTATTTCCAGACCTGTGGTGAAATTATTGATGATGCTGGTTTGGCAAAATAAATTCAGGCTACATTTTCAAAAAGGAAATGATGTTTTCACATTACTGATTGATAGTACCTCTCCCACTCCCAGCTGTCTATGGTCAACTTGCCCTTCTGCCATTCACTATTTGTAAGTATTATTTTTGTATTGCAATTGCAGTGAAATAGGTAAGAAAGAATGCCTATATAGGAGATCCGGGCATGATATAAGATACTGGTGTAACACCGACAAACCCTGGCGGTTGGGATCAAACCTGGAACCTCTAAAGCTAAATGCATGAGCCTCTACTGCATGAGCTAAGGCTGTAGCAGACTTATTAAGTGCTACTTGGTCTCGGGTGCCACTAGAGGGGACAGAACATCACACCCAGGAAGTGTGTGGGTTACACTGGCATGCAATAGAAGATGTAAATATTAAAAACATTATTTACAGAAATATCTTTTTATCTATTAGCACTTCCTTCCCTCACTCTTTTCAAAGTGATCTCTTCGAGAGCGGTTTGATTTTAAACTCAGGCATTAGTTCTGCAAAAATGAAAATCCTTGTGGATTCAAATACTGTAAAGTGGCTTAGAGAGTAATGACTTTCTTTGAGTCATTGGAGTCTCAATTTTGGAAGGTGGAGTGTACTATTTCTGAAATAAGAAGGTCCATAAATCTTCCCTGAGCTGGTGAAATGGGCTCAAACTTCCACCTCTGCTCAGGGTGCCAGTGTAGCCTGATGGAAATTGTCAGCCACTGTGACAAAGAAAGTAAATAGGTCTCATCTCTTCTTTATTTTTCCCTTTGTTTGTTTCCCTCTTCATGCTTCACCTTTGGCTGGAAGAAACTTGGTGAATTAGTCTGTAACAAGGACTGAAAACAAACAGTGCTGTCCTGGATTATGGCAGTAAAGCCGGAGGGACATAGGAGTTTCTCCAGTATTATTCTATATAGAATTTCATTCTGGTCTATCCTGTTGCTGCTGGAGCTCTGTAATGTGCCTGTAGGGGAGTACACCTTTCTTCTACCCATAGTGTATTTCTGTGTAGCAATAGTTTATCATGAAACATGGACCTTTCACCTGCAATAGTAGGTTGTTTTGTTTTCAGTATGAAAACTTGGGGAACTGGATGGCAGAAAGCATTGGTTACACAGTATTTCACTGTCCCCTGTAGGGCCCTTTTACACAGGGAATTTACAGCACTTTCCCCACTGCTGGTCTGTTTCTGATACAGGTCCTTGAAGATGGCTCTGGTGTAGATGGGTGTGGGTGTCCTTACAACTGTGCTGCTTAACCTCAGTTTAGACAACACAAAGATAAAAATTCTTGTGCCCTATCTTTACCATGCTTCCACCATTTTGATCTGCAGGTGGAACTGCTCCTTGAGCTAGACTGATGGCTGACAAAGGGCTAGTGTGGCCCAGGCCTGAGACGGTTCAGAGCCAGCCTGCTTTAGAAACAGACAAAAAGTTGTTTCAAATCCAGGGCTGTTCAGTGACCTTTGTGAAATGAGTTGGTGGTCTGAGTCCAGTTTCTGTGTGGAAAAAAATAATCAAACTCCATGGGTCTTGGTTCCTATATGTAAAATGGGGATTTTTGTCTGCCTTGTCTGTTTTAATCATAGGGTCCTGTGGGCAGGGACTGTCCCTTTCTCTTTGCTTGTACACATCTTGCACAATGGAAACCCAGTGTTAGTTGGGGGCCTCTGGACATTAGGCTAATACAAATACCAAATAAAGAAATAAGAAATAATCTCACAATTGGCTTTCCTCTTGAAGAAAGATAGATCAAGGCTTGAATGACCATGGAGGCCTGTTCTAGTATTTAATATGAACTCTGTTCTTTCTCACTGGTCTTGGCAAGCTTGGGGTACTTGTGCCAACTTGTTTTCATGTTCTTTTTCCATGAGCTGGAAGCAATTTGCTCTTCCACTACCTGCCTACAACTGCAATATGAAAGCACCCTGGGTATAACACTGGTGCTAATGCAAGGTTAGGAGAGGTGGGGCAGAGCAAGTCTAGACAGAAAGACAATGTGCTTTCAAAACTCGTTAGCATTCAGCACTAGAAGAGTTACCGGTACTGGCAACATGATTTTATCCCTCTGGAAAGAGTTCTAACTTTCCACCCA